GAATATGAGTCATGAATTTGAATGGACCCTTGCGCCGTGACACAGGAGACGGGCGTAAAATCAAAATAATTTCTCCTTCCATCTGATGAGTGTGCTCCGGCCTTATTTCAATCATCTTTCCCTTCACATTATTTTCTTCTAAAGAAGTGAATTTCACGGAGGAAGGGACGCACAGTCTATTCTCGTCTCAGTCTACTACTGTATTGCTGTAGATGTTTTTAACAATATTGTACACAGTAACGTTTACCAATAGTCTTTAGAGCTTCATCACGACCGACTTACACGACACGTAACCAATTTGCATGGATATAACATTCTTCGTGAATGGAATTTGCATTTAATTTAAATAAACTGAAGGTGAAATTTTGCTTATACGTTGCGTGCGAGAATTTTGTTTCATTACAAATAAGGGGGACGGGAATTGCTTACGTCGATGTGAAAACGTTTACAAGAAAATGTACGAAGATACCTTATCCTCTTTTATGTATTTTAAGCTTAAAAAGTAATCTTACGACGGGAAATACAGGAGTGTATTAAAAAGGATGTTATAAGCTTAATTAAGATATATAATATAAGACAGGTATATATGTATATTATGTCGAAATGTATGTTGCTATTATAAATGCGAAAGTTTAGATGGAAGGATGTTTGTTAGAGTTTGTAGATTAAACTACTGAAGGGATCTCGATGAAATTTGGCATAGTTGTAGAGGATAGTCTGGAAGAATACATAAGCTGCTTGCTTTTCTTTTTTTAATTCCAGGAGGACGGAGTCGCGGGCGAAAGCTAGTGTTTCACATTTTCAATCAAAAATTAAACGGAAACCAAACAGGGTCAAAACTGTTCATAGGAAATATGTATAAAATTAACAAGAAAATAAATTTCACTTAAAGTTTAAGTAAATCAAAGTTAATCGCATTATAAACTTAAGTAATGAGAGCTTGTCAATCACTTAATAGGTGTTATACGCGTTGCTATAATTTAATTATTCTTTTAATTAAGCGAGGTTGCCACGTGTTCCCCTTCAAGCAAATTGGTTCCCCCCACACCCCAATTGAGGAGAAACTTTATACGCCTATTGAATGTTGACGTAATGAACTGATGAAATACAACCTTAAGATCTTTACGATTCATTGACGCTTTCATTAAAAAAGGAAACACTTGGAAACAAATGACTGTTGCTTTCATTAAAAAAAGGGAAACACTTTTGGGACACAGAAAGTGTTCCTTTTTTAAATGTGATCCATTTTTTAATTAACGAATAATTTTAGAATTAATGACATTAAAATCAGTTTTAGAAACGTAAATATGAATCGATAATTTCCACTGATGTTAAAGTAATATGCATTCTAATTGCTACCGACTAACAGTTGAATATCAATTTTTTTCTACTAAATTATCAGAATTTTTAAGCATTAAAAGTTTCAAAACATTTTAATAACATAAGTAGATATATATTGCATGTTGTGAAAAGTATAAAGAAGCACATAATATTTGAAGATGTAAATTGACGTTTAAAATACACTATAGTGGTGAAGAAAACCGCCTCTAGCCACTGTTACAACATGATCCTCATTGACAGTTCTTGAAAGGGCTTATTCTGTGTCAAGTGGCCGACTTACCTCGTTCCCTTACGGCCGCAACACGCGCTAGAATGAATGGAATCACAAAAGCGATATTTCAAAAGCATTTTAAGTGACTAAATGAAAAACCGTTGATTTCTCATAGTATTCATTTATATACGCATTTTTTCCCGCGACTCCGTGTCCTTAATTATTAGCCTATATGTTGTGATACGTAGTACTAATCTATATATCCATCCATCCTCATTTTCGCTTTGGCAATATTACTCTTTAGGTTAGCCTAATTGGACATTAAGAGAAACTTTTTGTTAAAGGTTTTTCTCGTAATCTATTCTAAAGTAGATCACATTTTTTAATATCAAGGTCACCGATTAAAATCATTAAAATTTGGTACATTTTTAAATTTATTTCCTTTCTAAGCACAAGTGAATTATTTAAACTTATGGTCAAATAATGCTTGAGAGAATTTTAAAAACAGATACTTAAATGTCCCAAAAACTTTTAACTTGAGAGAATATAAACGTGTTCAAAGCCAAGTCAAGCCCTATCTACCCATTCTATTTGTCCATAATGCCACATGTAGTGTAGTTTTGCAGACAACAATTACAATTGCTGTTCTCTAGCCCGCAATACGAGTGTACTTACGACTTAAGTTACATTGCCTTGGGGTTACTTACCTGTATGACTCGCAACTGCACTTATAGACCATTATAATAAAAAATAATATAAACTTGGTTTAGATAAACTTTTTTTGAACAGTTTTCGTTACAGTAACTATGTTTAACTAAAAAAAGATTACTTTAAACTTATAAACGAATCCGAGGATAAAAGCTTTTAGTTTTTTTTTTTTTGGATTGATACTATACTGACTGAATTCCCAATCGTACGGTAACATACAAAAATGAACCTCATGCGTGCTCAAATCAGGGATGTCCGCAATGCGGAGACAGCACGTGTCTGTTATTTATGCCGTCGATACGGCCAGCGGGAGTGTACGCGAGGTATTTTACGTTTAACGTACAGAAATAAAGGGAACGTGGAATAACTGCGGATCGAATCATTATCCTTGTTAAACTTTATATTGATATATTTGTATACATAATAATATTTATTTATGTTGCCAGAATTATAACCATGTCCTCTCATAGGGTAAACACAAAAAGCTGGAACACACCTTTAGTTTCAACAGAAAAATAGGACTGTTTAATTGGGTGTTTCCCGTTGGACCGATCGGCTCGTTTGATTGAACGACTAATTGAGAATGTTGTCATATAGGCCCTATCGATGGTGCCAACCGGCCCAACAGTAAACATCTATTTTTTTGAGGCAGTTGACATTGAAGGCGAATAGAGAACTTACTACTTCATACACTCTTTATTATTATTACATAGGTAGTAATTAGGGTCTATAAGACGTAATATTTTTCTGGAATGTTTAGTTTAGTTACTATAGTTTAGTACCTAAAGTTGTAGTATCGCATATATCTAATTGAAAGTAAATATTTAATATTTGTATGCACATAAATTTGTACACATCTCGGTCAATATCCTTCGTACAAAGTTATTAGCGAAAATTCATTCATAATTTATTTTGATTCACGAGTGCTCTTACCAAGTTTCGCTTGGAACTGTACCAAATTGACGTAATTGTCACTTAGCACATTGTTATTAAGGAAATACGTAGCCTCGTTTTCTTTAACTTCAACACGAAATAGCTACTTTAAAAAATATTAAAAATAGGCGAATACCGGTAGAGATAGACTTAGAAAGAGATGGAAGAAATGCGTGAAAAATGATATGATCAAGAAGGGATTGATGACTGAGATGACGGATGATGGATGAAGACGGACTGTAGCCTTCATTTGTGTTTTTTAAATCTATACTATTATAATAAAACGTAAACACACAGTTCTTTGTTGCCTAAGATGTCTGCAATTACAGCATAGTTTTGTAAATTTCTTTTTTTAATAAAATGCCCTACCCTTACGTCACGCTTTAGGCTATACATTTTCACGCCATTAAACTTGGGGGGTAAATATTTGGATAAAAACTCTAATGTGGGAAAGAGATCATAAGTTGCTGCCAACATCAAGGAAGTAAGATTGCCAAGGTTTGTTATGTCATGTCATTTAGACATTTGCTATTGATAATTTGACAAATGCAAACAATAAAATAATTTTTTTATAATTTCACGCGGATGAAGACGCACGGCAACAGCTAGTTACAGATAAAAGAACATTAACTGTATTTTTTAATCAAAAATAAATTTAAAAATCAAGTGTCTCTGTTAAAGACAATATACGACGGAAAACTATCCTTGGGAAAAACATCATTTAACTTAATTTACTTTGTCAATCGAAATGATGAATAATCACACTCACAGTCATTTAAGGGAGACCTTTAAACTGAGTGTAAATAAATTTGAAAACATTTGTATTGATAAAATCAGTTATAAATCGTTGGGGATTTGCCTCCCAAATATGGGGACCTGTATTATGCGTTAGCATTAATCTACGATTTAAGTTATTACTTAATGATTGATATAGTAAGTTATTGTATCAATGTAAATAAGCTAAGACTTTGAAGAAGAAAAATGTTCACATCTGCTACCAATTATCAGAAGACAGGCGTGAAACGGAATGAAATCCAATTTGTAGAACCGCAAGCGAGTGTTGCCATTCTGCGTTTTCAAGTTATTTCAATTTACTGCCCTCAATTTAATGTCAAGTACAGATGTAGGTGTTTCCTAAGTAAATAATAATGTTTGTAAAGAAATAATCGTTATGTAAAATTGTTAAATGCGATTATATAGGTTTAAACCATCAATTTGTATGTTTCTTAAGAATATTAAAATATTTTATGTCTGTGAGGTCGTATTGCCTTGTTTAAACTTGATATTTATTTAAAACTAGCTGTTCCCGTGCGGCTTCATCCGCATGAAATTATGAAAATTTTATTTTATTGTTTACATTTATCAAATTATCAATAGCAAATGTCAAAATGACATGACATGATGTCAAACCATGGCAACCTTGCTTGATGTTGGCAGCAACTTATGGTCTCTTTCACACATTAGGGTTCTTATCTAAAATATTTACCACCTAAGTTTAATGGCGTGAAAATATATAGCCTAAAGCGTGGCGTAAGTGTAGGGCTTTTTATTAAAAAAAATTATTCAAAAATATGCAGTAATTGCTGACATCTTAGGCAACAAAGAAGTGAAGTGAAGAAGTAAGTAGTATAGATAGTAATCGAGTTATATATTTAAACAGGATTGAAAGTGTTGAGAATAAATAAAACCAAATGAAATCGTCTGATTCGTTTATTTTAATAATATTAGCTTTCAAATAAAACGTTTAGAAGCTTATTTTGTTCGACACTAGAAGTGTATAGCTTTAAACATTCATACGCTAGAAAGAGGGTTGAAAATAAGATAAAAGGGTCAGTCTTATATTTGGGAAAATTGTATAATATGAATAAATGATATTTACAAAAGTTGGGAAGACACATATGCGACGTGACTTAAAGAAATATCTAAGAAACAAACAGATAAAGATCGAAATCTTTCTCACACCAAACACACTCCATTACAAATAACAAGTAGGTCTTAAGTTATTTTATAGTAAAATTTTTAATTTTAATATTTGATAACAACACTTTACCTCGCGGGATGCCAAACGTCCATTACATTCATTCTCTATTCATCTTTATTTACATTTTAAACGATTAAGACAAAATTATTATAAGTACAATAAAATTGGGAAATAGTCTAATTGACTCAAAAACCGGTACCAGGTCACCTCAGGGCAGAGGGATCCAGTACCAGAACCCTAGGCTAAAGGGAAACGAACTCTGGCGGTGGTGGCGGTAAACTTAAAACTGGTGTCTCACACGGCTCAGGGTTGTCGCAACTTGCGCCGGGCAGCGACCAGGTGGAGCTGCCAGTGGCCGTCACTCTAGGACCCATGTTATCATACGCGGGGGCAGTACAACAAGTTCTACTCCGCCTAGGTAAAGTCGCACCTCCGCTCAGTAGATCAGGATATTTGGTCGGCTCACTTCTTCCTGCAACTTGTACGGAAATAAAAATGTTTCCATACGGCACTGGTACCGCGAATTCCGCTGGTGGCGGAGGAAATACTCCCGGAGTTCCCTCTATCGTAATATGAACTGGATCAAATCCACAACCTCTCGGCTGATCGTTATCAACAGATAGGGAACGTTCAGTGAGCTCGAAGTCACAAGGGGACGCCATATCAGCTATAGACCGGTCGCAGCTCACAACGACTGACGCATCTATTAGACGTTTCTCCTGGTCCATAAAGCTTCTACTGGGTGGCACAGATCGTCTTCTAAGATGCCAACAAGCGACTGCGGCGATAAAACCTAGAGCCGCCAGCGCAACTAGTGCACCAAAAACTACTCCTAAAAGTTGGGGTATACCCGGCGCGGTGCGAGCCGTTGCCGTTTGAGACCGAGGTAGGACCAGACTTATCACAGCTCTGGCCTCTCCCGCCGTACTCTTTGCTACACAAGTCCATTCTCCAGCAACACTAGAAGTTATATTTAACAATGTTATATTAACCCACCTTACACTACCAGGCACTCTATCTTCTGAAATGTCATTTTCTACTGTCGTATCGGTTTCTTCCATATCGCAATCTATCGTACTGTTGCGTATATTCATACCGTCAAATAACCAAGTCACTTGCGGCTTTGGGATACCATGTATCCAGCAACCAAACGTGACCGCGAATCCGACCTCCGCTCTCACAACCAGTGTACTCGATCGCACTTCGGGAGCGCACGTCATGTTTTCGCTAGGAACATTTCGCCATTTATTTCCAGCCTGACTCGGTGGCTCCGTACATAATAGGTCTTCCGTACCCAATTTACTATCTAAGAACCAATCTCGAAATTCCCCTAACCGACAGTCGCATCGCCAGGGATTCCCCGACAGTGACATCGTCTTTAAAGCTGGCAACGAAAACGTTATCAATCGCAGGAATGTTAGTTGATTTCTCCGTAAATCTATAGTTTCTAGTGATCGTAAATTTCTCAAAGCTTTCGTGTGTATTGTCCGAAGTCGGCAGCCATCTAGTAATAACATTCGGAGATGCGGTAGCGGCGGGAACTGGTCAGAGATCAAATTGGTCAAAGGATTATTACTGAGAACCACCAATCGAAGCCGTTCGTTACCTCTGAATATATCTCTTGGTAAAACAGCTAAATCGTTGTCAGCTAGGTCCACTTCGATCAATATTCTCAATTCTAGAAAAGCATCCGCGTTTATTGAACGTAATTTTGTCGCTTTCAGATTTATTCGTTGTAGATTAAGTAAGCCGATATTCGAGAAAACTCCTTGCGGTAGATTCCTGAGCGGATTGTCGTGTAGGTCGAGGACCTGGATGTCGGATGAGAGAGCCGGTGGTCTGCGCAGGTCTCCAGACGCGCAGGTGGCGGTCTTCTTGCCGGAGGACCACTTACAGCGACAAGTTGCGATGTGGGCGCAGTCGAGCCAGTCGCTGGCCGTCCTCGCGGTGCAAGTCGTGAAGATAACTATCCAATACCATCTGGCCCACGACACGCGCATACTCATCTCATTTCGGATTTGTGTTTACATCTGCCGACTGCCTGAAACAACAAGGAAAACGTTAATCACAGCATTAAAAACGATACGAAAATACAATATGCTTTATTCATCGAATCTGCTTTTATTTAATGTTACATTACGATCTTCTATTCTTTTATGAGACAGTTACGTTACTGTTACGACTGTTTCTAGTTACATTGAATCACAATTCCGTTTCTTTATTACTGGTTTCAATCGTAAACACATTAGAAATTAGGTTATGTCTGCGATATTGAAATGATGAATGTTACAAACATGTACAATGGTCAGCTAGTTTTGAAAGCCTAGGCAATAAATATTTAGGTTATATGTCGGGTTGGAACTTTTGTACCATGATTGATTTATAGCCACATTAACATATTATGTTAAACTTTAACATCAATGATACAGTAAATCTTCCAATATAAGGTTTGGGAAGATATTTTGTGAATATCTATTCAAATTTTCTTATAACTTTGTAAGCACTTTGTCTAGAGTGCATCACTTTGTGTCTAAAAGCGCTCGAAATTCTTGAAATAAAGTAGTTTTGGAAAATTCCATCCTATTGCTAGAAATACTAATACACTGATATGCTTCTGATATCATAATTACAACAAAAAAGCGTGGACAATAAATAAAATTAGATAAATTAGATTAATTGAAAAAAAAAATAATAGCTAAAAGGAACCTACATAGGTTACAAGAACACATGTTCTTCCAGACTATTTTCTACATATATGGCAAATTTTATCGAAATCCGATCAACAGTTTAGGCTACAAACTCTAAAAAACGTCCATCTAAGCTTTCGCATTTACTGTATGTAACGCTAGCTTTCGCCCGCGACTTCGTCCGTGTGGTATTAAAAAAACAAAAGTGAGTAGTCTATGTGTTCTTCCAGACTATGGTCTCCATAATTTTATCAAAATCCGTTCAGCAGTTTAAGCTACATCCATCCATCCATCTAAACTATAACATTAATAATATTAGTAAAATAAGAGTCGTATAATTTTTATTGTTACATAAATTGCAAGCGATTGAAAGTTTTTTTCCACCTTCGCCACAAACGAAGTCCGCTCGCTTAGTTTTCTATGAAATAACTCCGGCTAAAGCGTTGGAAAACTGAATAGGGAAATCTTTTCACGGCTCGAGATGTGAGAAAATTTCCACAACATACGAGGGGCGAATAAAAAGTTCGCAGCCGAGATACTTAAATGGGGGGAATGAAACTTCAATTTTAATTTAACTTTAATGTCTACTCGCTTTTTGCCTCATTTATATTCGAGTTCTAGTTAAGATTTATCATTAAAGCTTCATTAGCTATTACGATTTACAAAATTACTGCAGGGGTTGTAGTTTTATGTGACACCAGATTTTGCCCGCGACTACATCCGCACGGAATAAAAAAAAACAAAACCAAGTAGCCTATGTTTTCTTCCAGACTATCCTCTACATCTGTACCAAATTTAATCTAGATTCCTTCAGCCGTTAAGGCTACAAACTCTAACAAACATCCATCCATTTATCTAAATTTTCGCATTTATAAAATTAGTAATTACAGTAAAATTAATTATTTTAAACGATGACTAAATAATCCTGTACAAAGTCTATACCAATATTACAAAGAGAAAGGTTTGTGAACTTGTCTATGAATCGAAATAACTCAAAAACTATTGGGCAGATTTTAAAAATTCTTTCACCATTTAAAAGCTACTTTATCACTTAGTAACATATCCCATTTTTACTATTTTTTTTATCCAACATAGACGAAGTCGCGATCAAGAATTAGTCATTGATAAAATTTAGCACTTCCTTTCTTTAGAAAGTCTTGCATTCAGCGAAATTTATTATTTTAACTACTACTTCATTATTATAACTAAGCGTTAGTAAATAGTTAACAAATTCTCTTGAATGTTGTCACGTTGTAACAGAAATAACCTTTTTTTGAAAGTAGCGCCAGTGGTGGAGAAATTGAGAAGCAAAAGGTTAGCGTGGTATGGACATGTTATTCGACTAGACTATGGGGACATAAACCAGAAAGTGTTAAGATTGAATGTAGGTGGCTACAAAGGTAGAGGAAGACCGAAGAAAGTATGGTTGGATTGTGTGAAAGAGGATATTCTTAAGAAAGGTTTGGATTCAGATATGACGGCTGATAGAGATGTATGGAGCAGCACATACTGTGCCGACCCTCCGCAAGGGGAAAGGCAAGTGGATGATAAGCGTAATAAATGTTGAGGTAACAATTTTGTTATAATAAAAATAACAGTTACTATAGGTCCGTAATATAAAAATATTGCTTTTAGATAAAAAAACATAAACATGATACCTAATTAAACTAACATCAAAGAAAAACGTAATTGTCGTTAACAAGCTTTCAATAACTAATTCTGAGAGTTCTATTTTATGACAGTAATTTCGTATAATTATCCACGAAATTACTTGAAATGGCCCCATATACCAAATACCGTCGGCAACAGTGAACTTTGCCAAGTTTTTTAAGCAGCAGTAAGTTCAAAGTTACCGCAACTTGACTTGTCTTTTACCTAAGTTATGTGGTTGAGTCAACATTTTATGTAACACTTCGAACTCTTTTATGAAAGGTGCACACTTTATTTCTATTATAAATTTCTCCAACCCCGTTTACATTTAAATCTGCATTTTTCATACATTTTATTTTTAAACCTAAAAAAATACAACAAAATCTAAATAAGGACAATTTCTTCGAGACTTTACGTATAAATTAATTTAAACAAATTAAAAAAGCATATTTCTCTATATAAAGTTACTTAATCAGTTCAGGTTTTAAATCTTCATTTAATATTTAAACTAGCTTTCGGACGCGACGCCGCCCGCGTTGAATTAAATAAAAACAAAAGTAATTAGTAATGTGTTCTTCCATACTATCCTTTACATCTGTGCCAAATTTCATATAAATCCGTTCATCAGTTCAGGTTACAAACTCTAACATTTCTCGCGTATGAACCCTAATCACATGTGTACTCCAGACTTTGTTTTATATCTGCGCCAAATTTCATTAAGATGTGTTGAACCGTTGCAGAATGATCGAGTAAACATTACAAACTAAATCAATGAATCCCACGGGAACCTTAACTATTCCCGGGATAAAATGTACCCTATGTGTTCTTTCAGACTATGCTCTAAACCTGTACCAAATTTCATGGAGATCCGTTCAGCTGTTTAGGCTACAAACGCTAACAAACATCCATCCATCGTAACTTTCGCATTTATAATATTTATATGAATGCTTGAATGAATGCTTTCGCCCGCGACTCCGTCCGCGTGGAATTAAAAAAAAGAAAACTAAGTAGCCTATTTGTTCTTCCAGACTATCCTCTATATTTATGCTAAATTTCATCGAAATTCGTTCAGCCGTTTTAGCTACACAGTCTAACAAACATCCATCCATCCATCCATCTAAACTTTCGCATTTATAATATTAGTATGATGATGATTAACTCGTCAGTCATTTAGGTTAATCAAGTATACGCAATAAACAAGTGACATTTAACATTTCCGCATGCCGCAATTGTATGTAATAGTGTCGGTTCTTGCGCAATGCCTAATGCGCATAGAATTAGTTCCAGTTTGGCAGACGGCCATCTTTTGCGCTATTCCGGGCGACGACCTCTTTTAATTCGACGTCTTCCTACAACGAAAACAATACGATTTGTAACAAGAAACAATCGATGTTTGACTTGGATTACCTTACTATGTTGTAGACAAAAATATTTCCATCCCATTCTTTCTCTTTGAAAAAAAGAGATGACATTTTTTTCGTGAAATGTAACTGAGATACATACGAGTTTTGAAACGAGATTTTATCAATGAAGAGTTTTATGATAAATCTAATTTGGAAAAGGAATTTGACATTATTTTAAATTAAGACTGGCCGCTTAACCTTACTTGAGAGAAAAAAATAAAAAGATTATTTACTTACATGTGTGTAAGAAACTTGGTTTAAGAAAGATAAGGCAAAAAAAATTAGTAAAACATTTTTTGAGTATATTTGTATATACATACAGTAAAATATCTTATTTCTTCTATTGATTTGTAATTTACCATGGAAAGAAATTAACAATTATTCGTTTTTACAGCGCGCACACCTTTGACTATCGCATAACTGTGCACTTTGATTCCTAAAAGCTTATATGGAGGTACACATACTATATATTAGAGTAAGTTTGAAAGTAGCGCCAGTGGTGGATTGAGAAGCAAAAGGTTAGCATGGTATGGACATGTTATATGACGAGACGATGGAGACATAAACCAGAAAGTGTTAAGAATGAATGTGGATGGCTACAAAGGAAGAGGAAGACCGAAGAAAGTATGGATGGATTGTATGAAAGAGGATATGCTTAAGAAAGGAGTGGATTCAGATATGACGGCTGATAGAGATGTATGGAGCAGCACATACTGTGCCGACCCTCCATAAGGGATAAGGGCAAGTTGATGATGAGTTGATGATGGAGGTACACACACTACTCGATTTTTAGTTGTGCAACTAAGCAGTTGAATGGTCTGCGAAACAATCGACAATCGAAAAACAACCGCCCGCTCTTAGACCATTCGTAGTCGTATCCTTTTATACTATTTTAATATCATTATTTTCAAACTGTATGAGTCTTTATAAATGAAGTACCAGGAGCACATGACATTGGAGTATTTTCTTTTCCTTAATTAAGGATCTTGCATACGTCATCAATCGTAAGGACGGGGAGTTCCTTCATCTATCATTACGTCACGAACTGCGAGCACAGACAAAAAATTCACCGTATACCTGGTCAATAAAAGTTCACTATTATTTTGAGATATAGATTGTATATCTATCTTCTATCTATATATATACATATAATAAAATTGGAGTGTCTGTTTGTAATATCAAAAGAAAAATTTAAAATTTCTGAAGGATAATGTATTTGCGTTGCTGATAACGAAAATATCATTTCAATTTTTTTTGTCTGTCTGTCTGTATGTCTGCAAGCCGCGTTTCTTCTGGGCAAT